ATGTCTTCCGTCTATCACAACATGATCGATCTGGTTGGTGGTTTTTCGATCCGGAGACAGCCAGGTAGCTTGATGAATCTTCTTATGCTGGAATCTACTACTACAGATAACCATATCACGGGCCCCGGCGAAGTCGATCAGCCTCAACCCACTTGTTGACGTTTCGTCGTGGAGGCTGAATTTACCGACTATAGTGCCAAGGATACCGTTTTTGGCCACCCTGGCGTTAAAGTCGTCAATCACGATTTGGACATCGTGGTGGGCGCAGCTCTCATAGGCCCGCTCCAAACGCTCATAAAAGGCATCTTTAATCACGTCGTCCTTCTCATGGAGGGCGGAGATGTCAGCCTTTATTTTTACGAGGACATCAACCAGCTGGGAAGCGGCACCTTCCCAATTAAGGGACCGGACATTCCAGGTGCATGCCCTCAATTCGTAGTCCTTATATCGTTTGCCATTGTCGTCATAAAAAGTGGAGTCTCTAATCCGAGGCTGGTTGTTCCTTTTCAATGAGGGTGTTTTTTTTACGTGGCGGGTCCCAAACCCTGCGCACAACCCTATGCAGGGGATACTTCGCCTTTTTACTTTAGCTCGCCTTCAAACGGATATTATTAGGCTACCCAGAGGATACTTGGTCAAAAAACGGAAGTCGTGGGCTGCTTCAGCCATACGTAAAAGAATCGTTTCTGACCGCTCCCAAGTGAATGGCGATCAGAGAACTTTCCTCACTTGCGTGAACTTCTACACATGACTGCATTGTCCTCATCATCATCGACTTAGTGGGTCAAAATATCCGGAAATAATACTAGAAGTCGAGTGGGAAGCATACGTCGACATCTATAGACAATAACAGCAACAAAATGTAATCCAAAAATTGCTAAAACTTTTGTAATTACATTTGATTTATGTAAATAATCGTTGGTGTACGTAGACCTTTATGATATGAATTGAGCGCATTTTAAGCTGTAGAATTATTTTTTTTATTTGTGTAAAAAAATATATTTTGATGTGCTATATTTAATGTTAAATATACAAATCTTGAAATGGATAGAAAAAAACGACAAAATTTATTCATTTTAAAACAAATAAGTATAAAGCTTGTAAGTCCCGTTACATAAATTTTTATGACGTGCGGTTAAAAAGTTAAAATGTGATTTTTCGTGAAATAATCGGTCACAAGCGTCCTTCGTAAGTTGGATTCTGAGCAATTTTTGGTCTAGGAGTCAATTTGTGAGAAACAAACCGTGCACACACCTTTCGTAACCCCAAAAAGTCGGTCAACATTCGATAAATCGATGTTTTCGAGATGTTCAATTCCATTTTAATGAATTTTAATGATGATTTCGGCTAATTTTTGATGAATTCACGTACAGTTTTGATGGAATTTCCGGTGATCAGGGATTTGGTTTGTCCAACATGCTAATCGTCATTTATGTCCTCACGACCACCACCTCTTTGAAAACGTTGTAACCACTCGTACAGTCCACTACGGGATAGGCAATCATCGCCATAAACTTGTTTCATCAACTGAAACGTTTCGTTAAAAGTTTTACTAATTTTAAAACAAAATATCATGTTGGCTCTTTATTCGAAGCTCATTTCGCACCTATAACACAAACATCCTGGTAATTAAAGCGCAATAACTTGACTTCCAATGGACTGGACAACCGATAAAGATAGCAGATTCTAACGCATCAGTCGACATATAGATGGCGCCACAAAAGGGCGCTAGATTCAAAAAGTCCTGTTTACTTTGGAAACGATTTCTGTAACATAATTATGTGACATTTCGTTCCCTCCGTGTCTACGGCCGTTCAACTGTTCCGCTGTTGAAAGCAAAAGTGATGAGTTTTAAATATCGTTTGCGAGATACAAGGAGAAGTTAGAAAACAGCATACATGTATTTAAAACCCTAAATAGGAATGCGCACAGTTATGAACATCGGGTGCAACCGAACATTTTATACTCTTTCAACTTGCTAGAATTAAAGCCAGGAAAATATTTAAGGAGTAAAACGTCAACCAGAAGATCGAAATTTTAGAAATTGTGTATGTACATTTACACCCCTATTCTGTGCACTTGACAAATTCAACATACATATTTCTAATTTGTGAAAATTTGAAATTTATCAAGCATTTCGTATTCTGTGTCTGAAATAAAGAGCTCTTTTCTTTATAAGTTGTTAAGATGTCAAATGCTTTTGACTGTGCTCATTGTTAATTAAATATCTGATTGCGCATCACTTTGTGAAAATGGTAGATATTTTACTCTTGTTATTATTGTTAAACGAAGCTGAAAATTGTGACAATAGGAATAGAGCGCGGCATTTAAAATGTTTACACGACGATAGCAATCCATTTTCTTTGAGCGAGAATACTTTTGTACAAAATTTTCGATTAGCTTGTGAAATTTGCCGTCGCCTAATTGATGAACTAGCTCAACACGATTCAAAACCGTCACTACCTTTAACTGTAAGGGTTCTAGCATTTTTGAACTTCTTTCGACATGGCTCATACCAGAAATATATAGGTAACAACGTCAACTTGCCCATGACTCAGTCGTCCCTTTCGAAAAGTGTGTAGGCTGTAGCAAAATCTTTTATGAATGTGAAGGGAGGAGAAATAAAGTTTCCCAGTTCCACAGAGGAAGAAGCTTTTACAAAAACGGGGCAAGTATTAACAGAACACTAATTTAAGCTAATTTATTTAAAATGTATTACAGATTTTTTAGAAAATTTTAAATAAAAATACCATAGGAGCAATTGTCTTCATGCATATTGCTATCAACATAATTTGAATAGAAATCAGCTGTTTCTATTTACATTATTTTGCTCACCACACGTGTGGGAAAAAACTTTGCGATTTGAAGCTTTTACTTTTATTAAGATTGCCACACAACAGCAAAATATTTCTTGCTTGATAAATATTTGAGTTAATTTGCAATACTGTATTAATTTGTCAAGTGCACAGAAAGAGGTGTTAGTATACTCTATATATGCAACTCATACACTGGCCGACAAATTCGGAATAAGATGTATTAGAAAAACGAAAAATACTTTAAGTAGTATATATGAGTTAGACAGTTATCGATTCGATATTATCCATTAATTATTACCTTTAAGGTACCTCACATACGTTCACCAATCATATGGGCCAAAGTCAGCCGGGTGTACGCAAATCTTGGTAATGATTATAGGAGGGCTAGGTTAAGTTTTCGTTCAAATTTACCCATTCTAGGAACAAACATTAATTGTTATTATCAAAACACGCTCATTTTTGATAGTAACACTTTTTCAAATATTTTAGAAATACAGGGTAAGATAAGATAATATTAATAAATGAGGAATGTACCGCGACCTTATTTCTATTGTGCCTTTTCCTAAATCACAAGAACTCACTTAGCCCCAGCATATCGATAAAGTCCAATTATCTGATACGTGCTAGTGAAGCGATGCGATTCCTATTCGTAAACATGGATCCAAGAGCCTTAATCTTTCGTCTACAGACTGCTGTGCAGTCGAGGAGCAGGTGTTCTGGTGTTTCAGGTTCCCTGTCACCCCTGTCACAGAACCGGCAGTTAGCGCATAAGGAGTAGCCCATTATATAAATGCCTATTCAGCTTGCAGTGCCCGGTGTAAAAGAGAGAGAGTGTCCTCAAATTTTTCTCTGGCTATAATTGCCATATCGTCCGCGTACTAGTGGTAACGGTTCCCATCGTCGGTTAACAGTGCTAAAAGGTCGTCCACGACCAGACTCCATATCAGGGGCGATAGCACACATCCCTATGGGAGCCCCTTGTTGTGCCAACACGAATTCTTGTATCTCCTACTGTAGTTTAAGCAATTCTGGTGCGCAGTACGGCCTCTATCCATCTGCGCACCGGTGCTGCCACATTTCTTTTCTCCAGTGCCCTGGCTACACACCTGTGAGACTTGTTGTCAAAGGCACCTTCGATATCTAAGAATGCGCAAAGCATCACTACCCCTCTCTCCAGTGAGCTCTCTATCTTAAAGGGTAACTGGTACAGAGCAGTATTGGTCGATCTGCCTGGTATGCATGCTGAGTAGCATGCAGGAGTGCACTTTTCAGCGCCTTCGACCTTATTTCATAGTCTACGATCTGCTGCATAGTTTTAAGTAAGAAATAAGTTAGCCTAATTGACCTAAAGGATTTAGCCAATGAATAGTCCTTCCTTCCTCCTTTGAGTATGAAGATCACCTCATCGAGGACTTTCAAAGTCGCATAAGTCAAAGCCTGTTTAGCGTTACTATCGCTGGGTTGAGTAGCAACCTCATCCACGTGAGTCTTATCCGCTTCCTTGCTCCCGGTGGCCGTTGTGGGCTTATATGGTCTCAGAACCACCGTGCTAAATCTATAGTATAGACGAAAGATTGCTGCTCGGACATACTTGTACGACTCGTCGTCTATGTACAAGTTTAGTCTCCTTTCTTTTATATCACCCCTTTTCTTTACATTGCTGCTTACCACGCGCCAGGTCCAGATTCTGATTTTTGACCAGACCTAGGGCAAACTCATATGGCTTGTCTTCGCATCGGGGGAGGAACATCGTCATGTTGTGCATGATCGGTATGTCATTCGCCCTTCTTACACAGAGGACGGGACCCTTCCAGCCTTCCAACTTGGGAGCGAACTCCGTTTTGATTGCTTTTCCCTTATTGTTGTCCGTGGCCGTCATCATAGGTTGTTGCCTTGTTGGGTTGATTATGTTTGTTTTTGATTTTATGTTGTTGTCTATCTTGTCCTTACGACCCTCGACTCAGCGCGGTGAGCTGTCGGGAGTACTTTTCTTTAGGAGAACTAAATCTCGCTATGTCAGAGCCCCATGACGCGGTCACGCCCCAGTTACTTTCTAATCCGGCCGGTGTTGGGAAGGCTCCGTTCTAAGACAGCCAAATTAACTACCTGGCTGCAAATGATCTAATGGGCAAGGGAGTCGCATAACATTAGGAGGTAGTAGCTATCGGCCGCAGCACGCATGCAGCGAGATACCAAGCAGCACCGCTCGTAACGGTTGGGGGACGGTGCCCATTATTCGGGGGGGTGCCAAGAAATACAGGGTAAGAGACTTATTGGTCTGTAGTTAAACGGCTTGTGTTAAGTCTTTACCAGGTTTATCTATCATGATGATCTACGACTTCTTTTTCGAAATCCGAAACCAAGGATTGCATTAAAGAGCAAGGAGAGCACATTTATGGCAATATTTTCTAACTCAATTATCATTTTTGGAGTAATGTTGTCGTGTCCTGACGCCTTTTCGGATTTAGCTCTTTTATGATTCTAGTTACTTCAGAAGTAGAAGTCTTAATAGAAACAAGCGACTCGTTACAGAGTTGGTTAGTGTTTTTCCTGCACTCACCTTTTAGGTCACCACAAATTTCACATATTCCTAAATTTGGAAGTAAGTCACAAAATGAAGCACTGTATTTGTTTGTGCACGAGCGTTCCAATAGTACTTTATTAATTTTAAATTCACAGTTGTTTAATAATAATTATGGGGATGGTATATACCCTAATAGGGTTTTATTAAATAATTTAGAATTCACAAATAATGATGCTGTTAGGATTTCGGGGACGGCATATACACAATAGCGTTTAAAGAAAAGGAAAACGGAAAATTCCCGAAATTTGAAATGTATATAAAGTGATGATCTCTGCGGTGTGAGAGATGCGCGAAAATGTACCGATCGTTGGTGATGTCGATAACCAACTGAACTGCATCTCCTCGTCAGTTCCCTTTTTCGCTTTGGTATGGGGGCGGTGTCATGGTTGTTAGTTGGTGTACTTGTGTGGGTGTCAATATGTGTTACTCTCGGAAGTAATGTGGATGCTAAGTGGTGATGCGATGAGTGTGGTGAAGGATGTGTGTCGGTGTTGATATGTTGAGTTGATGTGGTGTGAGGGTGTGGTGTATGTGCTGATGTCCGGGGGAGCATGTTCATTTATACATCCTGGCCCACCTAGTCGACTGTTCAGCCTGGTAGCCTCTGAAGTTGTTGCAGTGTTCCAACAACGTTGCTGAGGCCTTTCTTACGACGGGCTTGCGGCCTAGGATGGCGCCTCCGATGCGGGGTGGTATGATGATGATGGCGCCAGGAGCGGGATTCCTCCGAAAGGAAGGCTTGCCTTCGCGGTTGCGGTCGCAGGAGTCGTCGGCTGGCAGTACGGCCGCGTGGGGTATAATGCCGCTCAAGGTCGAGTCCGGCGCTGCGGTGCGACATCGTGTGATGCTGCCGCATAGATACCTGGCACTGGTACCCGGTCGTGCATTCGCGAGTGAGATGGTTAGGCGCCAGGCAATGGCCGTGTGCCTGTGCGATCTACTGGCGTTACAAAGGCGTCATCCCCTTGAAGATGCCACAGTGTGGCAACCGATCTCGTCGGCGACATAGCGTACATTGAAGCTGTGGCTGTTCCGGAGCCATTGATTGCGGGCCACTGCGCGGAGCCGTTGGAACTTCTCGTTGGGGTGCCGCAGCGATGGTTGTTCGCGTGGTTGTTACTGGGGGGCGTAGGAACTGTGGGTATCTCGGCATCCATTTTGATCTGTTAAGAGATATCATGTTAATTACTATACATTTGTATATATTTATATAGGCGTTGGTGCCATGTTGATCATGTGGATCGACCCCTTTTTTTTTTGGGTTTTCGTTTTGGTGGAAATCTTTTTCTCTAGTGGATGAGTTTATTATTATATTTTTTTTCATTTCTTTGTTTATTAGTTGCGGTTACGTTTCGATTGTATCTGCGGTTGGCAAAAAGCATAATTTAACGAGCCTTTTGGTACGAGCCTAATCGGTACCTTTTGTGGAGGTCCTTTAAATAATCATCTTTCCATCGGCGACTGAAGTCATGTTGGAGAATTTTAAATCTACACCTGTGGTGGTGAAAGGCAGAGCAAAATTGCAGGTTCAGCTGGAAGTGCTGCCATAATCTGCGATCGCATTTTCTGCTTATGCATAGTGCAGATTTTGCACATGAAAATGCACTCCTTTATTTGGGGCTTCAGTCGGGATATGTACAGCTCTTGGCGGACTATATACTGCATGACGCGATGTTCGGCGTGAAGCATTAGTATGTGGATATATCTAATAAATAAAGTGGCAAACGGACACCTCTCTGGTATGATTATAGGGTGGCGTTCATTATCGTTAGGCTTGAATTAGCCGACCATTCGCACAAAGTAAACCCTTTGTGTCTAGAAATGGATTTAAAACAGAGCTACATTTGCTTTTTGTGGGTCTTGGTGCGTCAATTTCTCGCAATGGAGATAAGTTGTTCCTTTAAATTTTAGTTTAAGCCGCTCTAAAAGCTTGAGCATATAGGCAACTACCCGGAGGGCTCGGGGGAACAATGAAAATCTTTCAAGGATCAATGTCATCCAGTGTTACATGATAAGTGTCGATTTTACGACTTTCTGGAGCAAGTATGTTGCGCATGGGCGATTGTGGTCAAGAATCGGGAGATTCTGTTAACCATCGGGGACCATTCCACCAGAAGGTGGAGGTGGCGAGATGCAGAGGTTTGCATCATCTTGTACCCAGATTAGAAGGATTGTCAGCACTGGCTACGTGACGCCAAGTGGCTGATCCTACTAGGTCAAGTATTTCAGATGTTCGGTTAGAATATAAGTTTTCCACGCATGTGGTGGTTTTTCTAACCAGGCTAGAACTATCGCGGACCATAAATACAATCTGTATTTCGCCATATTTAAGTGGGTCTGCACCATTGAAGCTATTGCTAGTAGCAGAGCGCCACAGAGTTCAAGTCGTGGGAGACTTAGCGTTTTTAGTGGCGCAGCTTTTGCTTTTGCCGCTAATAAGTGGCTTGTAGTTGCGACATCGGTTTGTGTTCTCACATATATAGTGGCACAATATGCCTTTTCAGAGGCGTCGCAGAAGACGTGTAGTTCCACTTTGTATTCGGGGGAAAAGTCTACCCACCGTGGAATTCGTATCTGCGAGATGTCGTTCAAATTATTAGCGAACTGGGACCATTTTTCGAAGCGAAGAGGTTTCACTTGTTCGTCCCAGTCGGTTCCGTCTAGCCATAATTCTTGGATTAGGATTTTCGCTTGTACCATAATTGGAGAAAGCCATTCTGCGGGGTCAAAAAATTTTGCCACAGAGGAGAGAATTTGGCGTTTTGTAATGGCGGATAATGCGGATATGAACTCAGTCGTGTATTAAAACTGGTCCGATATCGCATTCCATTGGATGCCTAGTGCTTTTGTTGTACTTTCCTTTTTAAATATAAGGAAATTAATATCCAACAAATGGTATATTTATTAATATTTTTTAGAATATTTGGGTGATTGGCTGTAATCTTTTTTAAAGGAAACCCTGCGGTATTGAGGGCATTTATTACCTGTGATAAGGTCTCGTATGCTTGTGGGAGACTGTGGCTTCCCGACAGGATATCGTCTACATACGTTTGCGTTTGAAGTTGAAATTCTGACTTTGTGTCTCCTGCCAGTTCGTGTAGTGTACGAATGGCTAGATATGGAGCACAGCTTACTCCAAGGGTAACTGTTTTCAATTTAAAGTCGCGTAGTGGACTATTGGCAGATTTTCGGAAAATAATCCGCTGAAAATCTTCATCATCTTTAAGTACCAGTATTTGTCGATACGTCTTTTCGGCATCCCCATTGAACACGTATTTTTATATACGCCACTTTAATATGAGGAGCATTAAATCTGGTTGGAGTGTCGGTCCCGTAAATAGAATATCATTAAGGGAATTCCCCGAGCTGGTGGTTCTTGAGCCATTGAAGACAACTCTGACTTTTGTTGCTTTTTTCAGGCTTTCCTACTGCATGATGTGGCAAGTAGAATGAGTAATATTTGCCTTTTATAATTTTTTTCACATGGGCGTACTTCCTCCATGTGGTCTAAATGAAGGTATTCTTCTAAGACACCATCATAATCTTATTTCAGCTCACCGTTTCTAAGTAGGTTTTTTCCATACTTAGAAACTGCTGTATTGCAGAGGTGCGAGAGTGATCTAAGGCGAGAGTGTCTGGAAATTGTTATTTTAGTGGTAGTCGCACGACATACCAACAGTTTTCTGATCTAGTAGTTGTGGCTTTGTAAAAATCTTCACAACACTGATCTTCAGGGGTTGTGACAGATATGGGGGGGAGTCCTTCTAAATCCAAAATTTTTTCAATTGTGAATTGAGGTACTCGCTTGAGACTTCCTCAACTTGAGTTGTCAAGGTTGTAACTGGTTCCGCAACTAGTCCACTTAGGACGTATCCGAAAATGGCATTTTGCGCCAGAAGTGTATTTGTGATTTTCTCAATACCTTCTAATATAATTTGCGATATAAGATCGCTGCCTAGTAGAAGGTCTATTTGAGCGGGGGTGTTGCAGTTGGGATCTGCTAGAGTCAGGTGTGAAATCTTATCCCAATGCTTGCTATTTATTTGATAGCTTGGAAGCATGTTTGTTAGTTGTGGTAAGATTATTGCATCTGCTTGAATGCGCTTATCCGCTTGGGGGAAATTTGGGTAATGGGTGGCAGTTGGGTGAGTTTTGTACTACTCGTCCGCGCGTTCCTGTAATTTCATAGTTGGATTGTTCTGTTGGCAGTTTTAGCCTATTTTGTGATCTGATTCTTGGTCTATTAGGGCTCTTAATTTGAACAGTTCTCCTCGATGTTCGATGCAGACAACTGC